TCAGCGAACATCAGGACGACTGGGACGTGTACGTGGGGCCGCTCACGTACGCGTACAACTCCCACGTACATCGTACGACGCGTACGACGCCCTTCGAGCTCGTCCTCAGCCGACCCCCGCCGGAGTTCTCTCTACGTAGAGCCGACGGTGACGCGCCCCCGTCCAATAGGGTCAACGCGCGCGCTGACTTCCTCAAGACGTTGGACGACACGATCCAGAAGGCGTACGGGAGCCTGCGCCGGACGCAGGCTCGGTACAAGCGCGACTTCGATAAGCGCGTCAGACGGATCAAAGCACGTCTCAAGCCAGGTAATTACGTCTACCTGAACCCCTCCGATGGGTCAAGGACGTCAAACAAACTCGCGTCGCTCGCCGTTGGGCCATACTGCGTTCTTGCGAATGACAAGAGAACCATCACGATCGATCGTGACGGTGTCACCGAGCGCGTCTCCATAGACCGCTGCGTGTACGCGCCACCACCGACGGGCGCGCCACGGGCGAGTACGACAACCCCAAGTGACCTTGCCTACAAGGTCACCGAGGGCACTCAATATGCCGTGGAACGATTACTCCGGCATCGAGCCATGGAGGACGGAACAATCGAGTTTCTCATCAAGTGGGCGGATTACGACACGCCCACATGGACCGCCCGGACTCACGTTCCGGAGGAGTTGGTGTCTCGTTCCTCCCAACGCCTCCGGAGACGCACCGGCAGGAACCTCATTTCTGACGTGAACGCGGACGTTCACGCTTGAGAGGGGGGCCCTCAACCGCTTCGTTACGGTTGACGTGAGGACCGCACAGAAGTCAAGCCGTATTTGACTTCCGAAACCCAAGGACGCACGACGTAAGGCGTAAGGATGAAGCAGTACGGACTACCTCAAGGAATTGTGGCCCTCGTATTGACCGACTATACGAGGGTCAACGTGTACTCGAACGGATAAGGCGAATGCCCCTTTCTGGGAGCAGAAAGGTCGGACGCTTCCCCCCTAACTGGGTCGCCGGACATTCCGTTAAGTCCAGCAACCGCGGCGAGAGGACGTCCGACGAACGAGACGATCACCTGCACAAGGCAGCCGGTACCGGAAGCAGTTAGGCCTCCGTCAGCCGATCGGTAGCGAGCGCTTACGGAGTTGGATGCGAGAATTCGCGTCTTAGGGGACGCGAAACGTCCCAGGGATGGCCGCCTAGAATGCGGCATTATGCTCAAGTCGCGCCAGGTGAGCGTGGGAGCGAACGGATTGCACAAGGCAAGGCGCGAGGTGTGGAGAATAGCGTACGCATACTTTGGTACGGGCCGAGTGAGGACGGAGGAGGGGGCGGACGAACAACCGCCACTCCACTGCCACGATAATATGCCAAGAGAGGCACCGCATGGCCTCAGAAAATGATTGGGATGATAACGGTCACCCCAGGGATGATATAATGCTGTACAGTGCTTGGGCCGCCGCCGCGATCAATATAGAAACAATAAGGAGAAATAAGTCCTACTGTGCAGCACTCGGTGTCAACCTGCCACCACGGGCCACCACGGGCAGGAGAAAATTAACGAAAAAGTAGTCGCGAAAACGGACAACTCACGTGAGCAAACGCATGCACGTTGGCATGCGAGACACGCAATGGCACGCGGGATGGCCGAACGTACCCTCGGCCTGACCGGTCCGACGGACCGTACCGCACCCCGAGGGAGACACACTCTCTGGCGGCGACAACGGAAGCGGCGCTCCGGACACGCAGCCTACCGACGACACCGTCCGTGGTCGGCAGCCAAAGGGCGACCGCTTCGACACCGTCACCTTACCCGGAAACCAAAAATATTGGGTGGTGGAAATTGCCGCGGGCAAACAGATGGCCCGGACCACACGTGCACGGCGCCGCGCGCGTGTCAGACGTCCGACATGCAGCGACGAGCGCGATTCAAATCACCACGACCGACGTTCGTGGTGAGTGAACCGATAACGGCTTCGACAAGGGGACGTCACGAGCCCTTTGTGCGCGGAAGCCGCGCAAAAATCTCCGGCGTCGACAAGGCCGACGTCGGGGCGACCTTCACAGCCCTGAGACAGAGGGCCCCCACAACAACACGAATGCCGTTGCTCGTCCAGAACGACCGCACAGAGCGCGGCGCAGCATGACCTGCAACCTGCGAGCTCGTCTTGGATCGTCTTCTGCAGCGTGTGCGTCGGTACGTGCGCGCCGCCGGTCACCGCACGTGCCGGGAAGTGCTCGCGCCGCACCGCCAATGGAGAAGCACCGGAAGCCGCCCTGGGAAGGACATGGCGGAGAGGAAGGAGATTGTACCCATGCCGAGGTGTGGAGTGTCGAATGGTAAAGAAAAGGGGGGCGCAGTCTCGCAAGGAAGCGGTATCACAAAGGGAAGCCGGTCTGCGTTGCCGACTCTCCGCCTTCCCTCGAGTCACTTTCCGCTCGCTTCGTAAGGAAGCCCATCGATCCACGGAATAGCCGTCGACCAAGTCCCTCGAGACGCAATCACCGCCACCGCGGAAGATGGCGATCTGGAGGCCGACACCGTACGTCTTCCCGCCACCGTCGGGTCCGTCGCACCCAGTTGGACCCTATGCGATACCAACACGCGCCGGGCGGGACCCGAGCCCAGACGACAATTGTGGAGAGAAAGGGGAGGTAGGCAGGTTGACCGCCCGCGAGTGGTACGCGTATTACGTACAATCCACACCCCGGTCGCGCCGTGCGACGCGGAGTGTAGAAGAAAGAAAGAAAAGCGGCAAACTGGCGCGGACACGCAGCGGCGTATCCCGCCGCGTCGGCTGCCGGCCACGAGCAAGACGTGGCCCTGGCTGCGCGCGCGTGGCTCGTGCATGCGCCATCGTTACTGCGGCCGTCGTGCCGAACGTCAAGGTGTGGAACGAGCGCCATCCCCGATGGCGGTGACGGCCTTGCAAAAAAGACCCCACTATACGCGGAAGGATTAGTCAAGACAAGCAGAGGGGTCGAACGGAATCCCAACCCCAGGGAGTAGGGACGCGCCGTGGAGCAGGAGCACGTCGTCGAACGTCGTCTGCGCGGCACCGGCAGAGACGAGGGCGTGAAGATGCTCCTCTCTGCTCTAAACAGCGACCGGGACGACGACGGAAAAACACGACGTCTCATGACAGCTCCGCCGCTCGTTCGCATCGAGAAATACGCCGGATCTCGGTCAAGGGGTAATTATTGAACGGCATCCCTATCGCAAGAGGGGTCACACTATCTGTCACCGGACCCCTAGGTACAACACCCGACTACAGTGTTGAGCGACGCGCGCGACTCGCGCTTCCCTCGTCTATTTTTGAGGACACTCCCCGCGGGAGGAGCGCAACACCCCCCTCCTTCTCTTTTTCTATTGTCGCGTCAACGTCGGTGCACGCCCCTCGTGTCCCACCGAACGCGGTACGCCCGCGCGCTCTGCATGAAGGCAACCCTCGCGCTCTTCAAACGCATCGATGCGGCACGGCTATACCCCCGGCACCGTGCCCCTGTTCTCCGTTACGGCGCGGCTGGCTGGGACGCAGGATGTCCCCTCCGTACGGGGGCCCGCACCGAGAGTCGCTTCGCGCGTGATCATCGCCATCCTCTCGCTTCCGCGGACAAACTCGGGCGGCGTGCCCTGGGAAAGGACCGCGACGGATGTCCTTCCGTACGAACGCGGGATTTCCACGTTAAAGTTCGGCAGTGGTTGTAATAGGTCTAGTTGCCCCCGACGCGAACGAATTGGAAGAGCCGAAGGGGTGACCCCCGTCGCCGCGCGTGCAGCACAAATTGCATGATACGGGCAGCGCGCGCTAGAGCTTCGACAAAGAAAAACAAAGCGGAACGGATGACGCAGTCGAAGATAGCGCGACCCCACGGCTCGGGCGTATGCAAGGAGGTCGCTCGCGGAAGGATACCCGTGGAAAGCGGCATGAGAAAGGACCAAGGGCAGTAAGGTCCCGGGACCCCTTTATTCGAAGTAGTACTCGCTACAGCTAACACTCGCAGCGAACCAGGGCAAAAGCGAGCTCAGCGGCTCGCGTCGTTCGAGGGCACTCGGGACTCCGGTTCGAAATACCGCGAAGGACAGTAGCCAAGGTAAGAGGGGGCCTCCGCCGTCATCTCTGCGACGCTGGGCATCGCCAGGACGTCGTGGCCGTCGACACGTTCAGCTGTGTCAGGAGGGTTGTAAGCTCGCGACTGGGAATTAGCTGCCTCGTAGTCAGCGTACGGATCACGGAGGGCGGGAGTCGCCGAAGCGCGGGGCGCAGCGTGATTTACCGGCAGAGAAACCGGCAGGGGTGCCCGCAAAATATCGCGCTCGCGCCGGCAGCGCTCTCGATCGCGCGACACGCGCTCGTACGCCGTGCGCATAGACGACAGCCCGTGTTGCAACCGCTGTAGTTCCATCGTCCGTGCCCCAAGGTCGTCACGAAGCCCTCGCGCCTCGTCACTCCGTGCAAGAAACTACGACCCGAGAGTACGAATAAGACCGCCTACAGTCCAAGAACGCTGCAGAGCTGCACCTAGAGCACGCCCCAACTCGGGAATGGATGCCAGTTCCCCTGGAGGAAGTACGAGGGCCCGCACGGAGCGGGTATGGTCGGGGTCCTGCCCCGCCTCGCCGAGGGGAGGGACGGGAAGGACGTCCCCTAGTAGAATTAAATGACCCCGTGAGAGGTCAGAGAGAGGTTCTGTAGAGGGTGTGAGTGTCAGCAGATAGTGGCCAGAGTGTGACACAATCGGCGCATTGGCTGACAGAGAACGTGAGCAGAGGGGACACTGCTGTACTGTGCTTTGTTGCCCAACTTCTGTAATGGTTGCACACTGGCGACACTCTGCCATTGCTGTTCATACTCTGTTTCCCACGCTGACGACACTCAAACATAGAGGCAGATCAAACAAGGTGCGTCAGATATCGAGAGAGGTTCCGACGAGGTTGTCCTATGAACTCCTACACGGCTCGCTTTCTCCCCTCCTGCGAAAATACAATTCCCTGTACTCCCTGCATACCTTTAAAGGTAATGAAGAGTGCACACGGCCTGTTCCTTGAGTGCTGCACAAACGTTGCCAGCAAGTATCCTTTTATTGAGTTTGAATCCATGATTGTGGACAACACGTGCATGCAGATGGCTTCGAACCCGCAGCAATTTGATGTCATGATTTTGCCAAATCTGTACGGCAACATTGTCACAAACATCGCCACTGGTCTCTTCGGTGGACCGGGGGCTCTTCCCAGGCGCCAACATAGGCATTAGCGGAGCCATATTTGAGCAGGGAACTAGACATTCGGCTCGCTCCCTTCCTGGCCGACAAATCGCGAATCTCACGGCCACCATCATTGGTGGAGTGCTGATGCTCAGGTATCTCAAGTTAGAGGAGCGCGCGGAAGCGATTGAGAAGGCCGTCATGAGCGTGTTCGCAGAAACAGATATTCGAACTCGTGACGTGGCCGCGGAAGGAGCTGCAGCTGCGTCAACATCTGAGTTTACTGATGCCGTTGTTGCTGCTCTCAAGAGTTCTTCGTAGAATGCTGGGTACATGACGACCTTTTTTGGATTCGCAAGTTTGGAGGCCTTTGCCTCGCATGTCAAGGTGACATCAAGCTCTGTTATTAAGAGGATTTAAGGATTACTGTTACACTTTACAACGTTGCACCCTTGTCTAACATGAATTAAATCAGATACTCTGTACCCATGAGGAACATCATCCTCCCAGCGAGTCTGCAAGACTTGTCAAGGATTCAGCGAGGTCTGGATCCCCGCATCGGGCAACTACTTGATCCATGACTCCTGGCAACTCTGGTGCGACTCTCAGCAGGCCTTGCTTATCTATTTCGACCAGTACTTGCAGTGCTCCAATGCCTGCTTCCATATCAGCGACATCGTCAACATCGAGGGCCGCAATGGACTCTGAGAACGCGGCAATGGCATTCCGGTCGTCAAGTAGATCTCGCAAAAACTCTTCATTTCCCGTTGCCCTCGCATGTTGCATGAAGAACCTGGCTCGTCTCCTTACCAAAATGTTATCATCTGCGAGAAGACGCCGGAGAGAGATAGTGCCTCCTAGCTCTGCAAAGCGTTCTCGAATCTCCTTTGACGAATTTCTCAACAAGGCCGATGACGCCATGACAGCCTTCGCCCTCACCTTTGCGTTGAGGTCTAAGAGAGATTTTGCCAAGACTTCATGTCCATCTGGCTGCATGAAGACATCTTTCACCTCTTTCAAATCCTGCAGAACAGAGCCGAGGGCCCAGACAGCGGCAGCGCGAACTTCAGGTTCATCTGCTGCGGCACAATTTAAAATGGGTTGCAAAGCCCCAAGTTTATCAATGTTGATAGCATAATTCAAATCCACAAACATCTCCTCCAAGCCCTCTAATGCCTCTACTTTCTCCTCTGCGGTGAGCGGGTTTTTCTCGTCCGTGAGCATGGCGACGACACATTTGACATCGGCAAACATATCAGGCAAAGCTGCGTCGAGCCATTCGCGATCGGCGGCAAGTTTCTCTTCGGTTTTCTCAGTCGCTTTGTCGCCTGATGAAGCCTGCTCCGGTTTCGTAGTGTTCGCTGTACTCTATTGCAGGAATTTGTTGAGCGACGTGATATCGTTGCCGGGATTGACACCCTGCGCTTCTTTTTCCGTCCGGGCCTTCTGCAAGGCTTCCAATGCTGCTCTGGCAGTCGAATTTGCGGACACGGGCTTACCTTGTTCCATCGAGAGTCTCACAAGATGGGCGCGAAGCGAAAGCAGAGCAGGATGAACAAGTTCTTTTGTGTTGCTTCGGTTTGTGGGAAATGGGGGTAAACGATAAAATTGCTCGTTTCGTCTATGCGAAATTGCAGCGGGTGCAAGAAGTTTCGTGCAATGCCAAGGACGGCGCGGTACGGAAGCTAAAGTAGTGTGTTGATGCGATGAAGGGACGCTTCGGGAGTGATCCAGAAACCTCTGCGTTGTGGTTCTTAAACGTGTCAACACGTCCCCAAATGTCATAAATTTCAGAAAACTTATTTATTGCTGAGAGAAAGGCTGCGCAGTTCTTTATAGCATCAAGCAGCGCTGGCAGTCTCATATTTCCAACCTTTCCAGTCTTCTCTTCCTCACTTGCGACCCGCGACTTGAATTCGGAGCTCTTAGTGTGTTTATGTCGCACAGTAATAACGTATCACAACAACGACCCCGAATATTTGATCTCTGTCAGAACGATGTGCGCTCTTGGTTTTCGTTCCTTTCCAGTCCAATAAGGGGATGCTGTTCTTGAGATATGAGGACAAACGTAGAGTATGGCTCCGCAATACACAAAGGGCTTAGCACCACATCCAAAGGAGAAGAAGAAAAGGAGCCTAAGTCTAGTCTTGTCGTTATCGACGACCTGGGAGGGATGTTTTCCACACCGCCCACCTTCCCTTCTCTCTTCTTGGCACCTGGTTGTGTTCTGGCAATGCGGACAGCTTCCCCTCCACTGGTCCTTGATCAGATGCATCTTCACGTGTGAAAACATGTCAGGCTTCCCCCCTTCGCCATCCCAGTTGTCTTGGGGCTGAAATGAGGCCGTTCCTCGCACAGTAGCAAAGCGGCGACGGGAGGGCTGGCCACTACCTTCCTCTCGGTCATGTTTCGTCTTATGCGCTCTCTCGTAGCTCCCCTCCCCCTCGCGCCCCTTCAGTTCCCTGGGCTTTGGGCCTGGTGATGGCGACCGAGGCATTACTCTCGGAACGCTCGGCATCCTCCGGACAATATCTTCATCGGGCTGGGAGTGGTGGGAAATTTTCGCTTCTTGACGCGCCGTGTCTGGTAGGCTTGATGAATGCACGTTCCACAATGACCTTGTTGAAGTTGATGGCCCCTCAGGTGTTCCACAGACTGGATCGAACCCTTAATTTGCACTCCATCTCGTCTTCTCAAACGAGACATGGATTTTTGTGTCGAAAGAGTGAGAGTATGTTCTTAGAGAGTCGTCTTTTGAGTCGAAGCTCGGTATAGTGGTATGATGCAGCGAGGGGGATTGATCCTTAGGCGAGAGACGTGGGGCCGATGCAGCCTCAGTGGCTGGCGCAAGTACGTCAAGCCCTTCGTTCTGTGACAGCTGACTCGGTAAGGCGCTTCCACGCCCCGGAGGAAGGCGAAACGAAGGCATGGGCCTCATGTTCTGCCCGGGCAAACCCTGGTCAACTGTGCAAAGACTGGTTGAGGCTCTCCCTGGTCCTCTCGGGAGTCTCAACTTCCCACTCGCCATTGCTCTGAATCTTGAGGACGTGGTCGTGAAACTCGAGCAAAGCGGGCCTATTCCCGACGCTGATGCACGTGGCACCCATCTCGTCAATGAGCCTATACATATCGGCGTCGTTGTCGAAGTTAAAGGCGGAGGACGACTCATCCAGCACGAAGAGCTTCGGTTTCGAGATGACGATGGCTGCAAATGGGAGGCGCTGCTACTCGCTGAGGCCGAGATTTCTCGTGAGCATCTCGCCGGGCGCGTCGAGGCCCACGTCGCGGTGGATGAGGTAGCCGAGGTTGACGCAGCGCAGCACGTCCTCGACGTCAGCGTCCGTGACTTCGCAGCGCGTGCACGGGTAGATGAAGTTCTTGGACAGGGAGCCGAGCATGAGGAATGGGGGTTTCTGGAGGAAGAGCATGTTGCTTGCGGAAGGTCGCTTGATGACGCCGGACCCAGAGTCCCCCAGCCCGCACACGGCACGCATGAGCGAGCTCTTCCCAATGCCGGAGCGGCCAACCACGACCAGGCCCCCGCCGGCCGCCACGTGCATTCTCTGCCGGAGACCGCAAATCGGAAGATCATAAGTAAATTCTTATGCTGTGTGATCCTGGAGGTGTTTGACTTGTCACTGGTTGTTCGATCCATTCACTTTTCATTCGATGTTTTTAAAAGTACGTCAGACTTTTGTCTTCACGACGCTGTTTTCGCCTTTTGCCGCTTTGATCTGTGCAACGGCGATGCTCGGCCGTGGGACGTTGGCGGCATAATCAACGCGGCAGTCCCTAAGCACTTTGTTACAGCTTTGAGCTTGCATGTGCGAATCTTTCTCTGCCTTTTCGTATCATTGCCGAGAGGAACCGACCTCGCCTGGAGGAAACAATGTCTTGCGGTGCTCGAGCATTATCCAAAAGGAAGAAGCCAGCTCAAGTAGCAGTGAAGTTGCAACAACAAAAAGAGGGGGTTTCACCTCAGCTTCCGATGACACCATTTCTCTGAGAGATCGCATGGTTATTGCCATATGAGTGTGAAGGACATGGAGCAAGTGCCATCTCAAATGAAGCCAAGTTTATAGAGGAAACACATCCAGCTTTTGCGTGTCGGGACTCTATGAGCAAGCAAAATAGAACCCCCCTGCCCATTTGCAATCGTGCCAAATCGGAGGTGAAAGAAACTACCATTGATTAAGACTACCATTCGAAGCGGAACGCAAAAAAGGTCCATGAAAAATATCGCCAAACAACAGTCGCTGTAACTACGACAGAAGAAAAGGTTCTCGAAAGGAATAAGGGGACCGCTTCTCAGATCGCCAGGTTGACTGCAAACCATGGAGGTACCACGTCCTTTTGATATGTTAGAGAAAGCATCTGAGAATGAAAGACGATGCAGCGGAAGCCCACGCCCTGTACTACTTGAAGTGAAAGCCGAGAACAAACCGCTCCCTCTAGAAAGCGTGTATGACGCGATATTTTGAGACGAGTAAGTTTGTGGCACGAATGGTTCTACGACGCTTCGGCGTCTATGCGAAGAGTGTCTAAAAGTTGGCAATGTGCTAAATGATCACGACAGAGAATACTTACGCCTTCCTATTCTTTCTTTTTGCGGATGACGTCGACTGCATACAAAACTTACCCTAATCACTTCTTTGCGCCCCTTTTCTTTCCCTTTTTGGCGATCGCTGTTCCACTGCGTGTGCGCGTCGTACGAGGCTTCGGCCTATCAGGACCCTTAGTCCTGCTGATTTCGTTCTGTGCCCCATGCCGCCCCTCTGCACAAACGGTCTCAACATTAACACCGGCTTGCGTAGATGTCTGAATCCGTCCTTCCGGAGGGAAAGGAAACGATGGGACAGTTATCGGGGCCCCACGCGCGCCGGCATGTAACAGAGCCGTTTGAGAAAGCAGGTTTTGGAGGAACTCGGGGGATTGCATGAGAACCTGAAGCTGATGCGCTGCGATCTGCGGGGAGGGAGTACCTATCGAAGGGGAAACCTGCGAGGCAGCCATCGCTCGCATTCCATTTGTCTTACTCGGCTTATGAGGTACAGCCGGCTTCTTTTCTTTCGCTATTCGTTGCGTTTTTGAAAAGATATTTCTTCTCGCAGGGGATTCCGGAGAACCAGTCGTTATTTTATCACTATCATGATCGGATGTAGGCGTACTCCTGCTGCACAACACGCGGTTCGTTGCTGGAATTTCGGTGCACTCATTTGGAGGATATGCGGTGTTGTGAACACTTTCGATACAAACATCTTTTGTTTTCTTCGTTTTGGGGCTTGGCAGGTCAGAAATGGAACAATGAGACGATGATGGGCGCTGGTTATGTTGC